TCAGCTCTGCCCAGATTTCCTTTGTGGCCTGGGGAAAATCACTTTTGCCAAGATTTTCAAAAACAGGCTTCAAGCTAACTTTAGGCTTCTAAATCCATAATTAGGCACTGTGATGGGGTGCGCTCCCGACACTGGCCCTGAAAGAGTTGAATTAGGCCAGATGGGCCCAATCAGTTAATTAAGCTGCAAATGGGGGAGATTTAGGTGGTGTGGAGGGCACTAATTAGAAGGAAGCTCACCTGTGAGGGAACAAGTGGGGCTTCTATAAAGCCAGGAGGCTGGCAACAGTGCCAACCTGTAATCTCTTTCCCTGAGGTAAGGGAGAAGGAAGGGGGCAGGGATAGGAACCCCTGAGAAAGGGTTTACCTAGTAGGCCAAAGAGAGAAAGCTGGAGAATAAAAAGCTTGGAGAAGCATAGTAAGAAGTAGTCCAGGGCCAAGAGCAGGCTGGTATATCTGCAGACCTTAACTGCTTGCTACTGGGCTCTGAGCTGGAACCCAGTGCAGAAGGTGGGCCTGGGTTCCCTTACCCTCCACTGCAGAGTGGCATTGCGTGAGGCAGTGAACAAGAAGACAGCTTGAGTCACTGTGGGAGTGACAGTCAGGTCAAAGAACGTAAGGATTGCCTGACACTACTGGTACTGAAGGACTTTGAAAGACTCCCATGGAAGGGAAAAATCACAGTGTGACCTGGCCAGAGTTACAAAGTCACAAAGCAGCCATTTTGTATTTGTGCATTTGATTTATCCTTCCTAACTGTAGTACTTTCCACTTGTCTTCACTGAATTTAATCTTGTTAGTTTCAGACCAATTCTCCAATTTGTCAAGGTCATTTTGCATTCTAATCCTGTCCTCCAAAATGCTTACAACCTCTCCTAGCTTGGTGTCATCTGCAAATTTTATAAGTATTCTCTCCCCTTCATTATCCAAGTCATTAATGAAAATATTGAATAGTACTTGCACCAGGACTGACCCCTGGGGACCGCACTAGATACACCCTCCCAGTATGACAGTGAACTACTGATAACTACTCTAAGTTATGCTACTTCGGTCGACTTACAGTGGTGTCTCCACCACGCTCTCCCGCCGACATACTTTACGCTTCTCAGGGATTTGGAGTACAGAAGTCGATGGGAGAGTGCTCTGCCATCAACTTAGTGGGTCTTCACCAGACTTGCTAAAATTGACACTGCTGCATCTATCACAGGAATGCTGATCTAGTCGTAAGTATAGACATGGCCTGGGACGTCACCGGTTCTCCATGAATTCTCAACAATACTTGCTAATGGTTTCAAGATTGCTTCACCTAATTTTTTAAGTACCCTAAGATGAACTTCATCAGGCCCTACCAACTTGAATACATCTAACTTATCTGAATATTCTTTAACCTGTTCTCTATTTCAGCTTGCATTTCTTTCCTCTTGCTGTTAATATTGTGTTGAGTATCTGATCGCCATTTACCTTTTTAGTGAAGACTGAAGCAAAATTAAACACCTCAGCCTTCTTGATATCATCAATTATTTGCTCTCCTTCCCTGCTAAGTAGAGGACCTACACTTTCCTTCATTTTTCTCTTGCTCCTAATGTATTTAAAGTATCATTTCTTATTGCCTTTTATGTCCCTTGCTGGGGTAGCTCATTTTGTGCCTTACTCTTTTTGTCCCTACATGCTTGTGGTATTCTTTTGTATGCCTCCTCAGCAATTTGTTCATATTACTTCTTTTTATAGGATTCCTTTCTGATTTTCAGGTAATTAAAAAGCTCCTGATGAGGCCATATTGGCCTCTTACTATTCTTCCTATCTTTCCTGAGTATTGGGATAGTTTGCAGTTGTGCCTTTAATATTATCTCCTTGAAAAACTGCCAGCTCTCCTGAACTCCTTTTTCCCTTAGATTTTCTTCCCGGGGAACCTTACCTACCAATTCTCGGAGTTTGTTAAAGTCTGCTTTTTTGAAATCTTGGCCATAATTTCTCTGTGTTTCTGTTATCTGTAAAAATGAGGTTAATAATATTTTGTCTGTCTCATCTATTTAGATGTTTAGCTCTTTGGAGCAGAGATTGTATCTGAACATGTATATGTACATCACTTAGCTCAATGGGGCCTGATCTCAGTTGGAGCCTCTAGGCACTACAGTATAATGATTATTTGTTATACAAAGAAGTTCTTTGCTTTTGCCAAATACCAAACCTTGATATTTTAGTCTGTATTTAATTTTATTGTTTTTTTAATGGCAATATAAAAGAATATGGGGTAGGAAAAGTGTGTCAGTGAAGTCTGTATCCAGGAGCAAAGGGATAACATGTCATCAGTGGAAATCCCTTTCTTGGATTCTCTGGATCCTGGTTATACCATAAATCGTGCTACTGCAGATGCTCCATTGCCCTGGTAACTGTACACGAACCTGCACATCCCTCCTTGCTGTCTGCCATCTCTGACAGAAGCATGGAGCCTGCACAGCTCCCCACTATTGTCGGAAGCTTTTAAATGAGAAGGGAATTGCTTGGCTGCATGAAACTACGGGTGCAGGGCAATAGTACTGAATACTGGCACCGTTTTCCACAGGTGGTGATGATTTTTTCACTCCTGCAGGTAGCAAAGGCACAGACAGCACAGCTGCTTCTGGGGTCCAGAAGCCACCTGGGCCCATATGCTGCTAGCCTGAGTATGCAATGGTTCCTGACAAAGTTATTGCTGACTGGCACAGGAAAGCGTCCTACCGCTGAGGAAGAAATAAGACTGCCCCTCCTCCCCCCTTTAGAAATCTTTTGGAGAGGATTGCCGAGAACCCCCATGAAAGTTTCTTTGAGATTTCGCAGATTGTTTATGTATACAGGACATCCCTGTATACATAAACAATGGCTCCCATTGCCTAACTCTACAGGGGAATGATAGGTAAATAACAATGCTACCTCTCTTTGTTGCACTGCTCTCTCGTCTAGCATGGATACATTAATTAAAAGTCAATAGCTGTGTCTTATTAAGTTAGGGGTGCCATCAGTACATCATTGGAATGGGAAATACAATTACACACTTACCCAAATTTCCTCCCCCTGCATCAGGCTCGCCTGTGTTCGACTGCTTGCATTGACTGCACTGCGGTGGAGTCTCAAACAGGTCCTGGCTCACAGCATAGCTGGATCCCTTGGTTGCATGTCCCCCATCCTCCTTTCTGATCATGCCAGGGGCCTGTGGCTTGGGCTCCTTGGAGGTATCCATGGTGGTGAGTTCTCCACCAAGTACAGCATGCAGCTCTTCATCAAAGCAACAGGTCTGCGGCTTGGCACCAGATCAACTGTTGGCCTCCCCGGCCTTCTGATATGCCTGATGCAGTTCCTTTGCTTTCAGGTGGCACTGCTGCCAGTCTCTGTCATACCCCTTCTCCTGCATCCCCCGTGCAATCTGCTCATAGATATCTATGCTTGGGTCTGTAGCTGTGCTTGTACAATCTCTTCTCACCACAGGCCCAGGAGATCCAATATCTCCTGTCCACTCCACGTCGGAGCATGTGTGGAGTGTGTAGCCAGCATGGTCAGTTGCACATAACAAAGGAGAGCTCACTAATGTGCTCACCAAGCTGGACAATCAGGAAATGGCATTTCAAGAATGTGCAGGGCTTTAGAGGAGAGGGGGACCTTCTGGTCTCCATGACCCTGGGGCAGAATCAAGCATTAAGGGCCCGCTGCTGGTGGACTTTTAGGGTCGACATAAGTAACACAGTGTCTACACTTGCGCAGCATCGACCTCAGTACATTGACCATGCCCAGTGCCGCTCGAGTGGGTGGTGTTACTATGTCAGCGTAACGGGGCACGGATATCAGTGGGAGACAAATTTAAGTGTAGACCCTTGGACAAGTAGGTGGATGCAAGGCAGCTTACGTTGACCTAACTTGCTAGTGTAGACCAGGCCTGAGACTCTTTCCTTTGACTGAGTGCTGAGGAGACAGTGAGATCCGCCCCTGGGGGCCGGGGACATCAGCAACCAATCTGACTAATTAAGCAGTGGCTTGATAGATATGACAAGGAAGCCCATTCAACTCTTAAATGGAATGGCGATTGCTAGATTGCTACAACACAGGGCCTGAAGCACGGTAGTAGGTTTAAAATTGAGATCCTCAGCTTGGTGCTGTGTTGGAGAGGTAGAAAGCTTTCTTCCATCTCTTCCCCACCCAACAAGTAAACACACATGCAATAATATGCTAAATCGGTTTTAAAAGGCTCCCTTTAACGTATAAACTCATTAGATGAAATGCTTAGTCTATTACAGATGCACAAAGGATAGTAACTGCTGATTTACAGGAGATGCAATTCATACTTAAACGGTCGGCCGTTATACCTCAAAAATACCTAGTCTGCACACTGCGGCCTACAATATTTTTAGCTTTAGTGCCATTATAATAGATCAAGCCCAAGTACTGTACAACTTGATTTTCTTCCCTCTCATTGCACAGAGCTGTCCTGGAATATTGGTTACCAGAAGCCCCTTTTCTCTTTGACATTGCAGTTGTCACTGCTGTCATCAAGTAGCTCTACCACTGGTTTCTCAATATGCATATATGAGTGAGTGAGTGAACAAATAAGGGAGTGAGGGTGCACCTTATTTAGGTACATAGATTTTAAGATGACTTGGGCCTGGTCCACACTAACCCCCCACTTCGGACTAAGGTACGCAAATTCAGCTACGTTAATAACGTAGCTGAATTCGAAGTACCTTAGTCCGAACTTACCGCGGGTCCAGACGTGGCAGGCAGGCTCCCCCGTCGATGCCGCGTACTCCTCTAGCCGAGCTGGAGTACCGGCGTCGACGGCGAGCACTTCCGGGATCGATCCGGGATTGATTTATCGTGTCTAGACAAGACGCGATAAATCGATCCCAGAAGATCGATTGCCTGCCGCCGAACCAGGAAGTAAGTGTAGACGTACCCTTGAAGTAAGAAGATGCATACAATACACACAGAGGTACTTTAATCAGCAATCACAACATTTGGTTATGAAAAACCTACCTTAGGAGAAGAAGAAAGCTCCTTCACTGCAGGAACAGCTGACACATTCTCACTCATTCCTGTCTCTGTCTTTGGTGAGAAGACTGGTGGTGCAGGAGCCTTTCTTTTCATCTTTTCTGCTTCTTGCAGTGTAGTAACTTGATTATTTAAAGCAGGGCTTGGTTTTGGTTCATAAAATGGATTTGATCTAATTAAAAGAAGGGAAACATATTTCTTGGCTATCTCTTCGCACTTTCAGAACAAAAATAATAGTTGATTGTTTTGATTGTGCTGTTGCTGTCTTTTTTTCTTTTCTTTTTTTAAAAGACTGATGAGTGAATTATGTACAGCCAGCAATTGCTTTAGGCCAGCATTTGTAAAACTGGGTATCTAAAGCTAGGTTCCTAAGTCCATATTTAGCTGCCTATAGAAAAGTGGCCGAGCACCCACAAGTCAACCCATTGAAGTTGATGGATGCTGGAGGTGCTAAACAACTTTGAGAATCTAGAGACTTTTATTTAGATAATTAAATGTGGATTTTGGAGCCCAACTTTAGATACCCTATGTTTAAAAATCTTGGCCTCAGCATATATACAGTCAAAGTCAAGTACATTTTCATTTCAGTCACAAACAGCCATCACATAATTCTGAGAACACTCAATGGAACACAAAACAGCACAGGAAAATAATGGCTAATGGTGTTTGCATAGATAAATAGCTATAATCTGTTTTGCACATTATTTGGCGAAACATCTTTAAAGAAACCCAGCCAAACATGTTCATGTGTAGTCTGATGCACTATCACCTCCGCTGCACCATTTATAGTCTCTCTCTCTCTCTCTCTCTCTCTCTCTATGCTAAATAAAATAAGCGCTTTCCTCGCATTCACACTTTTTAGCCAGGTCTCCAGTGATTCTTATGTCAGCTGATAATAGAAGAGCTTCCCCTAAGCATTTAACGTATTTACTCTCAGCATGTAAAATAGATAGCAATATTGTATATAATAAGGGGCACTTCTCTGTATCAAGCTAATTTATTCACTCTCTCTCTTATTTTCCATCCTTTTCAATATGTCCAACAACAGACCTCCACTTATAAAAACAATCTGATCCATTATTCCATCCTTTACTATTCTACACTTTCCCAGTAAGATAAATAAATAAATCTATGTATAATTTGCTGAACTCTGTGCTCATGCAGTGACATGACAAATTCCCAAAAGACAGATCTACATACAATTAGATGAAGTGCAACACGTCAAAAATAAATAGCCTCAGTCCCTTGAATTCATTTTTAGATGGAAACAATATTGTATCCAGCATTAGGTAAGAGGTTAAGCACCCATATCCAGTCAGAATTTTCCTCTCAGTGCTAGAGAACCAAACTGGTAGGCAGTTTTTAGACAAATGAAACTTTAAAAATTGAACTATTATAATAAGTATTCTTCATTAATAGCTGATTTAGCACTCCGTTTCCTTTCCTATTTCACTTTAAAAACAAAAAACCCTTTAAGAATATTTTAGTTTTAAAATATTTTCCTCAATTTATTGAAATGCCTTAGAAATGACTTTGATGCAGTTTTGCCCCTTTCTTCTTTATCAGTGAGCAGAAGAAAGTAATTGTTGTGTTACACCACAGAGAATAAGTCTACTCCGGAAGGGTAAAGTTTAGTAAACACATCTGTGGGAATGTGGAGAAGGGAGGAAGAAACTAAAACAACCATTCAGCAACAGGCTTGGTGCATGAAGCTCACCTTACTGTGGGACTCCTGCTGTTTATTACAGAGAAAGATCTAGATACCCAAGTGAAAGGAGAGATTAAGACTAAAATAACAAGTCCGCTGACTGAAGGCATCTTTGAGGTGTTCTCACTTCAGCACTTATCAAATGCAAAAAAAAAATATGGGGAAATCAAAGCTAAGGGTGATGTCAAAATAACTGTTTAAACAAAAAAAGGATGGACATACTCCAGAGGAGGAGGAGGAAAACGGACGGTATTCGGTTTGGAACCAAAGACTGAACAGTACCTGTCAATTGTTCTAATTTTGCTGACAACCTTGTTGAGCTGTCTTCAAACATTACAGAGTTCAAAGGAAGGTGAAAATAAAAATGAAAAAAGATAAAGAGTGAAGAACAATATGTTTTAAGGAGATCACAATGTTTTCTTTAGTTTCACAATTTAGTCTTCTGACTAGCCAGCAAATGCAGCATGTTTTGACAATGAACTAACTGACCCTCTACAACCTTACTTAGAATTACAGAAATTATGTGCACTGGGACTTTTCTAAGAAGTTAATGTTAATTTGCTTGAGTAAAAAGTTCAGATTAATGGGAGTAAAGAAATCTGAGAGCTGGGTGGAACCACATTTTAAAATTAATTTTCTTACATTCCTGCTCTTAAATAAAGACTTTTACCACAACACATTTACCAAGAAGCAAGGCCTACAATTAAGTAAGTTACAGGCTTGTTTAGAATTTGCTTTAAACATAAGCTGTATCTACATTCGGTGTATATTAAAGGCAGAGCACATTGACGTTACACTTTTCACCTCATTTTAAAACCAGTCCGAAAAGTTTCTTTGAACTGTTAATTTTGATAAGATTCCTAAAATATTAGAAGCATGACACAGGCTAGGTTTCTAATGGTAAATTATAATGTAAAACCCAAGTTTTGAAGTCAGTCGATTTACTTCAGATTTACAGATTTGTAACACAGCAGAATTTAGCTCGTGTTTGGTTGCCTGGTGAGCAAGACCAGGCAAAATCTGGCTGAATGAATCCTGGTTGGAAGATATTAATTGGCTCATGCAGTCTGTGCTTCAACTATATTATATAACCAACGGTTATAATGGAATTTATCTAGAGAGAAGCTGAACTGTCCATCGCAAGATAAGGCACCCAGCAAACATCTCAGCAATTAGTAGTTATCAACACCGCAGCTAGTTGCTTCTCTAGTCTATCAATCAACTTCAAGAAGTTAGAAAACACAGTTGCAACTTTCATCAACTATAGTGCCCTCCATTAATTCAGTCTGGTTAATGAGAATAGAAACTATGGAACCAAATCATTTGATTTGAAAATAACTTCCATTTTTTATTTTGAGCTATTCGATATGTTCTGGGCTGGTATTACTGGCTAATGAAAATCATTTTATTGAAGGAAGAGCTAAATTCCAAATGAAACAGAATTAAAAGAATAGGCCAAGTGTGATACTATAAAAGAGTGCAATTTAAAGAGGTGCGTACTTATGCAATTTTCAAATGCTTAACTTTAGTTAACTTAGCAAAGCAACTATTCTTTATTAAGGACTAGCCACTGGCCAATTTTGATTTTTAAAAAAAAACAACAACTTATGAGTGCATTTTTAAAAATGCACAAGTAATTTTTGGTGCTTGCCTAAAATTAAAAAATGGCCAAATTAACTTTATTCAAACTTTGCAAACACTTCCCTCTTTGAGCTATGACCAAAATTTCAACCCACAAGAGATCTGTTTTGAGTTTCCTGATAGTAGAATATCCTTAATAGAACATGTAAGCTGTAGCACTGCCACCACAATATACTTATGATAAATAATTTTGCATTTACATACATATTCTGACGATATCAATCATCAATGAAGCAAGTCTCCATTAAGCAAACCATCTTAAGTCAATATTTTTACCAATAGAGAAAGTAAGGCATAGAGGTGTTATGTACTTTGCCCAAGGTTACATAGCAACTCTGTGGCAGACCTGGGATTAGAAATCAACTCTCAGGGCACTCTAGTAGCAGAGTTATGCATAGGGCTATACATGCCTTTAAACAGATTTCCTGATTTAAGTACACTAAATCATGCTTCCTCTAACTTATTCCATTAGGATTTTCTAATGTTAAGGACATTTTGCATTGGTATTTAACGTAAAAAAAAATCCCAGATCCCAGTGCTAAGTAATTTAACATTTAGCGATCACTTTTCTTAGGCATGAGAGATATCCAGAGCTGTGGTCAGAGTTTAGTATAGGGCTCAATCAAAATGGAACCCGGGTCTCGCACTGAAGAGATCTAATGGCATGAACTTTTAGTTAAAAAAAAGTTAGATTGCCATTATGTCATTGGCCCTACAGAAGCAAGTCCCCAGTCACATTCCAGTTCCCATTCCTGCCTACTACCCTCTCATAATGATAGTTCTAACATTTTAAAAATCATTTATTTCATCTTGTCTACAAGACTGAGTCCAAAATCCATGCTCTGCCCTCTTGAAAGGATAATGGGACCAGGCACCTGTTTTTAAAAGTTTTCTCATCCTTATTCTTGGTAGTGAGCATCAAATTTAACATGAACACAGCAAGAGGAATACAGAGTGATTCATGAAGCATACTGCAATAAAAAAAAACCAAAACAACCCCCAAACACAAAAACCCCTTTAAATGCAAGGGTAAAAATGCATTGCTTTTCAAGTGAGGAAGGGAAATGTCCTTTGGGATCCTTCTATTTGTCGTGTTGCCCTCCTATTACTCTCAAAACCACTCTCAATGAAAGGATCTGCTCATTGCTGCTCAAAAATGCAAACAGAATGACAGGATGTATAAAGAGTGATACAGAAAATATGACTGAAAGATTTATAATGCCATAATGCTGTTATACAAGTCAATGGTTTGCCCATGTCTTCAACATGTGTTTAGATCTGGTCACCCCATCTTAAAATAGATATACAGTAGCAGAAATAGGAGCATCCAGAGACGGGCGATGAAAATGATTAGAGACATGGAGAGACTTCTGTATGACGAGAGATTGAAAAGGTTAGGACCAGTTAGCTCAGAGAAGAGACAAATAAGAGGGAACATGATAGAGATCTATAAGATAATGAAGGGTATAGAGGAGAGTAAATCAGGTGCTCCTAATTGTCCTTTTTTTTTTTTTTTATAAAAAAAGTAGAAGGGGACATTAAACAAAATGAAAGGAAACACATTTGAAAACTGCAAAAAGGAAATACATTTTACACAGTGCATACCTGTCACCATACCGTGCCACTGAGGCCTAAAACTTAGCAGGGTTAAAAAAACGGTTACATATTTATATAGATAAGGATATCCACAGTCACATTCGATAGAATACAAAATGTACAAAGGGAAATAAACTCTCAGGCTTCAGGGCACAAGCAAACCACTAACTTACAGGAGGGAGGAAAAGCTTCCCCTATATACTCATCATTCCATAACTGTTTTTCATGGGGTTTCTTCCATTTTCCACAGAAGCATCTGGTGATTGCTGCTACCTGGCAAAGGATACTGATCTAGATGGACCACTGGTCTAACCCAGTATACCAATCCCTATGTTCCTAAACAGGCCTTGTGTCATAACAATCCACAATGCAGAACTGCAAATGTCTCCCTTGCCCCCATTCAACTCCATACATTTAATAAACTGTCCCCACAACTTCTCCAAGGCTTTACCTCCTTAGGAACCTATGAAGAAGTAGGAAGGGTCTCCAGTGGTGACTATGATGTAAAAGTCTAATTTTCTATGCTATTTAACCGCTTCACCCTCCATTTTAATAATGAAAATACAGGCCAGCTTAGGTTTGAACAACATTTATCCTTGGGGGGTTCGTTTTTACCTTCCATTAAGAAAATAAAGCAAATAGGGACTGTAAATCCCCCTAAGAGACTTGAAAAATACAAAATTAAAACAAACCAAAAGCTGCTGTAACAAAGAGCTACTGAAATCCACAATCTCAAAGACAGGAAGGAAGAACAAGCCTGCCCTTTAAAACACTGCAGTGGCCTGTTTGGCACAGATTTGTTTACGATAGGGATGTGGGCATAAGTAAAATAAAGAAAAAATCCTTCACTTGCCACTCCATTGTCACCTTTGTCTCTTTCCTCTCCTCTTCCTCAGTCTTTGCTGTTCTCTGTCCCCATCTCTTTGTGTATGTATATTAATATTTCCCCCTTCAGACGCCCCCGATCAGTGAGTGATCAGGAATGTCTAGTGTCACTGTCAACAGCGCAATCATACTCTTGGTCTGGGAAGATACAGCAGCCAGTGCCGTTTGTTCAGAAAACCAACTTTACCCCCCCCCACCCCCAGCAACACTGAATGGAGCTGGCAGAGAAAGCATTCCCTAATGCCAATTTTTCACAGCAGAACAAAAACCAAGCACAACAAAAACCCAACAAAACTAAAAAAAAAACAAAAATTCACAGGCACAGAACTTAAGAGAAAATGAACCCCGGGGTCCTATACACATTTCTATCAGCGTGCATGGAACTTCTTCTGTGTCCTAGAATACAGCTATAAACAGAGCAAACATGAGGATAAAACATGACACCTGTATTACTATTAAATAGAAGAGCCATGCAAGTGTCATGCCATAATAAATCTCATCAAGGTCTTTACAATTAAAAGTTAATTACAGTTGTAGTCTGTAAAATTGCTCATGTATAATCACCATAAATCCTTGCATGGGTGGTGCGGTTGCTGAGTAATAACCATACTCTTAAGGTGATTAAAGACACAAGCACACCTTACGTTTGTGCCTTCAATCATCCCAAATTGCCTGGTTATTGCAAAAATGCCCTCACACCCTATTCTGCTTCATTACTAGAATATAAGACAGCCAAACACGGTCTTATAAAAATGTTAGATAGGGTTCTTCGACTCCAAGGCCAGAAGGGACCATTGTGGTCATCTAGTGTGACCTCCTGTATATCACAGGCCAGAGAACTTCCCCAAAATAATTCCTAGAGCAGATCTTTTAGATAAAAACTATCCAACCTTGATTTTAGAATGGTCAGTGATGAAGGATTATTAGAAACAAATTCCAAGGAAGTGAACAGGGTGTTTCTCTTTCATCCTTTCAAGTAGTTGCTGTCTTTATGGGGTTCCCAATGATTCAACATTTGCTATACAGATTCCCAGATCTATCAGTTCACCCAAAGTGCACTCATCCCAAGAACTCTCACTTTCATTAAGAGTAAACATATTTTGTTTTAAGAAAAAAACAATAGCGACAAGACAGGAAGGACCAAGGCCCATCAATCGTCCCTCTCTACCTCACTTGAAATTACTCAGTGTTGCCGAGAAAGGCAAAATCTTTCCTAAGGTATATGCAGAAAAACGTCCCCACAGATCCTGTCAACATGCTTGGGAGATTGATGAATTCTGTCCTGTGTATGTGGGCAAGAACCACCCTGGTTAAATCCATTTATACTTTGAAATTATGCCAACAATCCCACTAATACTTTAAGATTGCTTCAAGATGAAATATTACAAATATTATACTTACTCATCTAACTCTTCCTCTTCAGTTTTAGTAGTATCTGCATAGAGGTATTTACTCATGTCCACCGGTCTTACATTTTTCCTTTTTGCAGGTTGTGGAGGATAATCTTTGACAGTTACAAACATTTCAGGTTCAGGATCTGGCTCATCAAATGGGTTCAAGTACTCTGGAGCACCTTCCTCTTTAAAGGGATTAGAATTATCGCTATAGTGAGAGTCTTCTGGTTTTGAAGATGAAGCTGTTTCAGTATCGTGGTCTATAAAAAGCATTTTGAAAAAGATTATTTAATATAGAAGACATTCAAAACTATTTTAGCAGATCTTTATACAGTATTTTCAGGGGCTTATGAATAAAAGTTTGCCTTGTAATACCTTGCTCTGAACTGAAACTTGGAATCTAAGATCTTTGCCTTGAAGTGAATGTTAATGCTTTATTTACAGTGTGACCTTATTTAGCCAAAAATAAGCTGTGAAAGGTAATGTCCCCTGAGGGGTGGGGAGGGAGGATATTAACACTTTGGGTATGTCTACACTGCAATTAAAAACTTGGGCCTGGCCCATGGCAGCTGACTTGGGCTCGCAGGGCTCAGGCTAAGGGGCTGTTTAATTGAAGTGTAGACATTTGGGCTTCCGCTGGAGCCCAGGATCTAGGATCTTGCAAGGTGGGAGGGTCCCCAGAGCTTGAGCCACAGCCTGAGTCCGAACATCTATATTGCAATTAAATAGCCCCCTAGCCCGAGCTGGAATCAGCTGGCACAGGCCAGCCATGGGTGTCTAGCTGCAGTGTATACACACCCTTTCAGAAGTTTCCCACTTATCCAAAACTTCTTTCAGCCACATTAGTCATTTGTCCCTCATTCACTCATGTAAATAGGATCTCAATAGATGTGATTTTCTTTTAACGGATTTTCCCAATTAGGTTATTCAGGTCCCAATAATAATGCTTTAAATGGTTCTTTGTCCTCTTATAATTTATACAGATTTCCTTAATGAAATGACATTTTGTAGGCCCTTAATGATGGTGGCAGGGATTGGGACCCCTCCATGTCTTATTTAAAAACATGTGATCTAGTAACACTGGAAAATCATTTATTAGGCAAGTTAATGACTAATCACACAGATTTAGTGTACATATCAGAACTGCTGCCATAGATTTTTGATAATAGTAAATACACTCTCTCTATTACAACAAATTTAAATTATGCTGAAAGAGATGAACAATCAGATTAATAATACAGTTTGGGATTTATAGCCAGCTACTCTACACAATTCTTTCCAGCAACAGAAATTACAGGGAGATTGTTGGCAGATATCTTTGTGACTGGAACAATATAAAAACATATATAGACAGAGAATGTTAACCATACTGAAATGTGTCAGGACTAACCCCACTATTCTTGCAATCATAAATGGTCACGAGTTCATCTTACTATCTGATCTGACAAGATGGCATTATTGCAGGAAAGTGAATACTAACCCCATGCAAGTAGGATCTTTACTAGCAGTTTTAACTAAAAACTTTATTTGCAATAACGGTTCACAGTTTATTCATGATGAGAAGTGCCCTTTATTTTTTGAGCTTTGAAATTACTGAGTTGAACATAATAGATTATTTCAATTTAAAAGACAGACCTTATTTATATGGCACTAGAGCCCAAAGATCCCCAAAAGGGCCTTGTCCACACTTGGGATTTGCCCCAGTACTGCCACTGATGACAAGCCAATATAGACAATCATATACTGCTACTTGTGCTTCTTGGAGCTTATTTCCACTTGAAACCAGTGTAAACTGCACTGGTGTAAACTGTGGCTTACAGCAATTTACCCAATTTATGTTGGGGATTTGCACGCTGATGGCTGGAGTCAAGTTAAATCCCCACCGTAGATAAGGCCTGAATTTTCTGAGGTTACCAGGATGAACCATCAAGTTGTGCACACAGCAAGCCTACGACCACAGGAACGTATTACTGTTTAACTTTACTCTCATTTCCACTTTGCTCCTATTATTAGTCACACTCACTTGTGTCTTGTCTTAAATTAGATTATAAAGTGTTTGGGCAAGGACTGTGTCCTGTACATTTATATAGTGGCAAGTGCAATGGGACCCCAGTCTCAGCCCTGGTTCATCCTACTTGAGAGCTACAGGTAAGGAGATGGAGATCTCATTTTAGGAAGAATCTCAGGACTCCTGTTCCTTGAGCCAGTGAAACTTTCACATCTGAATTCCAAGAGTTACAAGAGCATATTTTGTTACAGGCCCTTTCACTGGTGTCTGTCTCAGAAGAGACAGCTCAGTTGTCCACTCTGAAATACTGCTACTGTCAGAAGAGATGAGAATAAAAAGAGATTAACTATGTATTTCCCACAATAAAGGAATGAGACCTACAGATCATAACTGTACCAGCCTTATTTAAACTGAAGATGGGTACAGAGACCATAAGCACACTTGTATGATTAAGGACGAGATCAACAGCACAAAAAATCGACTTTTTTTTCAAATTGCGCTGCAGGTTCTGGTGAATATATATGACATTTATTACTATATTCTATACCTCTTAATTATGGAGTGTTTCCAACTACCAATGATTACTCAGGCACTTTACATACAAAAATCCCTTTAAAAATCTCATGTGATCTGCAATCTATTTTCCCTTGAGTGAAACCAATGCAATCTAACACCATATACAGTAGTTAAATTTAGCTCTACTGTATTCAGTAGTTAGTTTTTGGTTATTGTCTGTGACCTGTCTGTGACTTTTATTAAAAATACCCGTAACTAAATCATAGCCTTACTTATTAGTTCAAGTTGTATTATTTATGTTGAACCTTTGCCTAATTTTTAACCAAAGCCTTTTCTATTTTAAAATTATTTTTAGCTCTTAAAATATTTTCTCATGGGAGTGCACAAGAACCAACCCTGCAACTGAGTCCAAAAGAGTAGACCCCTATGTCTATGTCATGGTTCCACACTGTGCCACACCTCTGATTTTTACACAGTCTCTCTGGAAATGTACTCATTTAGTGTTAGACACTGAGGCTTGCTGCCTCACTACCACAAGACAGGGTCCCTGGCTTCAGCACCTCTGTTTCTCACCCTGGCTCCTCCTGCAGGTTCAAGAGTTTTGACTCCTGTTGGAGACTTACCCCCTCGTGAGCAATTCCCCTCAGCAGATGTTTGCAGCAACACACAAAATAAGGCAATCTTTTTTAGTCAATTGGAATACAGTATTTAGGGTCCGTAACTTAGAAAGCAAAACAGACACGTATGTGCATGCTGGCAGCACCACCTGCCTCTCTTGCCCATCTGTCCTAGATTCAATCTCCTCACGGCACTGGGCAACCTTGTAATTATCATAGGGCATGTCTAAACAGTGGTGTAATGGGGTACATGGCGGGGGGGGGGGATATCTAAAGCGCAGTAACGTGTTGTTTTTAACTTCATAGAATTTAATGGAAAATACAAATAGTTTCTGCAAGTCCTTTCAGCTTCAACATTATGGGCCAAATTCTGCACCCCTTACTAAGGCCAAATTCTCACTGCCATTAGTTGCCTGAATATGGACCACAGGATGTAGTCCAATATGCAGAGCACCCTAAAATGCCCCTCCATACAATTCGTTAAAAGATTTAATTTATTTCACACATATGCTAAAACTGAGAGAACTTTGTCAAAATCATTTTCAGGTCTCCTTGAAGCTGGCAACTCTGCAGACAAGTATAGGGTTTTCCAGACAGTGGCAGGTGCCTAATTAAACTTGGCTCTTATTTCTCTCCTTCTCCCTCTCTCCCATACTAACAATCCCGGATTCCTACTTATCTTTCTCCACCTTCATGGAGGCATTGAGAGGAGGGTCCGCACCCTCCAAGGGGTGGAGAGCCTCCCAGCTCATTGGCCAGCCTGTGTAACATAGAGCTACTATCATTTTTCTTTAAAAAAATAAAAATAAATAAAATTCTGCCCTGCCTCAAGCCAGTGACACTCCTCTCAGCCTCCCACGCTGTTACATGGTGCAAAGAAAGGGACCTTGCAACAGAGGGACAAGTCACAGGCAAACCACGGAGGTCTGAGAAAAGTCGACATTGGCTCCGCTCTGGAGTTCCAGACCTTCCTGAACCCTGCATCTGTACCCACTATGGGTCTCTTAAGCCCTTCAAGACTGGCCAGTAAACGTAAAACATTCTGTAGCCATTTGTCAAAGCCTTCATAAAACATTTCAATCTTTAGAAAACAATGTCAACCCAGATCATATTATATTATGGTATAACAACTCAATACCTAATTCTGAAAGCTGCATACTTTCTAGGTAAGGACAGGTGTCCTAGGCCTGGTCTACACTACGAGTTTAGGTCGACTTTAGCCGCGTTAAATCGACTTAAGCCTGGACACGTTTACACTACGAAGCCCTTTCTGTCGACTTAAAGGGCCCTTTAAACCGGTTTCCTAACACCACCTCGACAAGGGGATTAGCGATAAAATCGGCCTTAGGGGGTCGGAATTGGGTTAGTGTGGACGGAATTCGACATTACTGGCCTCCGGGAGCTATCCCACAGTGCTTCATTGTGACCGCTCTGGACAGCACTCTCATCTCAGATGCACTGGCCAGGTAGACAGGAAAAGCCCCGCGAACGTTTGAATTTCATTTCCTGTTTGCTCAGCGTGGAGAGCACAGGTGACCATGCAGAGCCCATCAGCACAGGTAACCGTGATGGAGTCCCAGTCCCAGTCCCAGTCCCAGGATCGCAGAAGAGCTCCAGCCTGGACCGAGCGGGCGGTACGGGATCTGATCGCCATCTGGGGAGATGAATCAGTGCTCGCCGAACTCCGAAGCAGTAAAAGAAATGGCAAAACATTACAAAAGATCTCCAAGGCCATGAAGGACAGAGGCCATAACAGGGATGCACAGCAGTGCCGCGTGAAAATTAAGGAGCTAAGGCAAGCCTACCACAAAGTCAGAGACGCAAACGGAAGGTCCGGGGCAGAGCCGCAAACATGCCGCTACTACGCGGAGCTGCATGCCATTCTAGGGGGTGCAGCCACCACTAGCCCAAGCGTGTTCTATGAGTCCCTCTCTGCAAACGGGGAAGCGGGTTCGGCGGACGAGGAAAATGAGGATGGAGAGAACATAGATAGCTCACAGCAGCAAGGAAGCGGAGAAACCAGTTACCCCAACAGCCAGGATATGTTTGTCACCCTGGACCTGGAAACAGTAACCCCCGAACTCACCCAAGACCCTGAGGGCACACAGGGGACCTCTGG